AAAAAAAAAAAAACCAAAAAGAAAAAAAAAAAGAATTATCATGTACCGAGAAGAAAGCGAGATCGTTTCATCCCGCAAGATTCGACCATCGAAATGCGAATTGCTTCCACATGTGTTTTCACATTTGAAATTTCTTCTCCTTTTTTTTTTTTTTTTTTTTTTTTTTTTTTTTTTTTTTTTCTTTTCCTTTTTGTCTCCGACAAAACGAGATTGTCCAGAATAAAAATTCATTTTGAATCTACGCAATGATGCTATCTATTATTACCAATCGTCGCTCGAGCTTTCTCTTTCTCTTTATTTCTTTCTTCATTACGAACGTGCATTTCCCCCTTCGATATAAGAATTATGTCACGACGAAAGAGCGCGAAAATTAGAATTCTTTGAACTTTTAACGCGCACGTTAAAAACTCGGACAATTATCCGTGTATCCGGTCCTTTACTTCATCAATTGGATTACTTGGGATTCGAAAGAAGCCGTATATATTTCGCGATATACGATAGAATTTCCCAACGATCTTTGTTATTACACGAAAATATTCGGAGTTTGTTTCAACGATCTCGAGTTATATTAAGATTACGAATTAAATTCGATGAAACGTGGTATAATGCGTGTTAAACGTGGTTACGTAAGAGGACGATAATATATTAGAATAGAAATTTTCCGATCGGACATTTTGTCGGGATATAATCGGATATAAATTATTAAAGTGGAAGAGCATAATGAATGAGGCAAAAATGCAAAACATGGCAAAAACTTACGCAGTACGGGCGAAGAATGAATCGCGGCCGCCACGCAGTATGTGTCAGCATTGTTCTTAATCTTCTCTAAATACCCTTAACCCAATTGAATTAGAAGGGCACACCCCGCGGGCTCTGGAGTCGGTGTCGCTTGTATTTTCTTTTCGATTCTCTTTTCGTGCGTGAAACGCGAAGAGCGGGAGTGCGCGTTCCATTATCTTTCCGTCGTTTCGTTTTTTTTTTTTTTTTCATTCACTGTTCAACAGAATAATAGAGAAAACGCTTTGCTTTCATGTATTATATCCGAGAGAATATGAACAATATCGGTGTTTTCGTTATCAAAATTCCGGAATAATTATCAGTTCCATTTTTTTGATACTAATCTAAACCGTTAATACGTACCGTTCATTGAATTTAATTTTCTGCTTCACGCGCTAATCGTTATCATTACGTCCATCTCGCGCATACATTGCACAGATTTTTTTACTTCGATCCATTTATTTTTCCCTGTACATTTTCTTCTTTCTTTCTTTTCTTTTCTTTTTTTTTTCTTTTTTTTTTTTTTTCTTTTTTTCTTTTTTCAATACGATAACACACACGACAAGTGAGTTTCTTTAAGAGAAGAGTAACGATTGTCGAGAAGACGAACGAACTTTCTAAAAAGATGTTGAGCGAGCAAGTGGATTGATCTACAGTGAAAAGATAAAATTCTGTCTAAAACTCATCCGATCATTTTGGGTTCGTGTCCTACCAGAACTCGCTAAATCTGCTGCGAAACGTGTTGAACGCAGGTGTATCTAAATACTTTTATCCGATAGGTGGCGACCTCGGAGGGAAACTGCTCTTCGTGTCATGATCGCGCGAGGGTGAAAGAGGAGAGAGAGAGAAAAAAAAAAAAAAAAAAAAAAGAAAGCGCAGCAGAATGGAACTAATGGCGCGTCGATTGCACTGCTATCGGAAGGAAGCTAATGCACGTCACGTAACGCGTTTCTAAGGTATCGGCCGAGGTTTCGGTAAGCTGAACGTGGGCAAAGTTCACGAGAATGGAGCATTTGGATGAGAATCGAACCTCTGGATCGGCAAACATCGAGGCGACGACTGGTAGCGCGGAAAATGAAGTAAGTTCTTCCTGAATGTAATTACGTATTTACAGGAAAAGTTGTCTATTATTACTTTCTATATATATATATATATATATAATACGTATAATAATTTCTTGACGCGATAGCGCTCATATATTTTTTTCTTAATCTCTTCAAATAATTCCAAGGTTTATCTAATCATCGCATCGAATCTTTATCGATTTTTACGATTGGAATAGATACAATTTAAAACTTTTTGAAAATTGTCCGTCATCGTGCCACTTGTGATTTTCATCGATTACATAGAAAAGGATATCGTTTAAAAAATTAAAAGAGACGGGAGTTTCGTAATCGCAGGATGGCTTCGATCTCGACGATCTTTTACCGATCGTCGGTGAATTCGGCCGTTATCAGAAACAACTTCTCTGGCTCGTGTGCCTTCCGGCGTGTCTCCCATGCGGCTTTTGCGCTTTCAACCAGCTGTTCATGGCCGACACGCCACCCCACTGGTGCAAAATACCGGGGTTGGAGAGTCTGGATGTCTCTCGAAGAAGGAGACTCGCGATTCCGACCATTCAGGTGCAATTCTCGGTCTAGGTGCTAATAATACCATCCCCCCCTATCTCCATAATGTATATATATATTCGTTTCATCGCGAAGAATTTAGGCGATTCAAAGCTTGATCGAGCGTAGATGTTAATTGCTGATAATAATATTAATTCCTTAATTAAGTCGAAGAAAGATTTAGGCGTAATTTTTGCGTTTTGATATCAACCCTTTGTATTTAACCCCTTGTCTTAAATATAATCAATAGAGGAATTAGGTAATTGAGTAATTGCTAGAATGTTAGCTTGTTTTCTTCTGCAGAGAGTAGTCTTTAAAAATATACATATATATTGTAGGAAAAGATAGAGTAGGAATATACGCTTGGCTGGAAAGTTATTATTTGCTCGTAATATTGTAACAATTGGTTTCGTAATTAGGACGACAATGAAACGTACAGCCAATGCACGCGATACGATATCGATTGGACAGCGGAAAACATTTCCGTCGTGACAACAGCCTCGTTCGTGCCAAATTCATCGTGGCCGATTGTTCCATGCGATCATGGTTGGGAGTACGAGACGTCGGAAGTGAAATCTTCTATCGTTATCGATGTACGTTTTTCTTTTTTTTTTTTTTTTCTTTTTTTGCTTTTAATTTTCGAAAATTCTCCTCGCTCGAAAGGGGGAAGGAGGTTGTATTAATTTTAATACAAATAATCGTGTTCAAACATGTTTACAGTTTAATCTCGTATGCGATTATGCGATTTATCCAACGATCGGATTAGTCGCTTTAAACACAGGTGGACCGATCGGGGTGTACCTTTTCGGTACCTTGAATGACAGGTAATCATATTGTTATTGATATTCGAATCGGGGATACGGATTTCATTTCATCGCTGATTTGACGTTATATCGCATACAGAATTGGCAGAAGATTGTCCTTCTTCACGTGTCTGGCCACTCTGATAACCGGTGGATTTTTAACATTCATATCGAACAGCTTTTGGACATGGGCCGCAACAAGGATGGTCGTCGGTTTGACCATCCCAGCCATTTATCAAATTCCCTTTATCATATGTAAGATGATTTGTAAGAGTAAAGAATGAAATAAAGGCGAATCCAACAACGACGCCGTCAAATATGTTTTCACGGAACGTGAACGAATGTTAATTTGTCTCTTGATTTCATGCAAACAGCTTTGGAACTGGTTGGTCCAAATTATCGATCATTCGTGACAGTGATGACTTGCAGTTTCTATACAATGGGATTGTGTATGCTGGCCGGTGTCACGTACTTGATAAGAGATTGGAGAACGTTAGCCATAGTCACGAGTGCGCCATTTCTTTTGTACATCTTATACTGGTGGTAAGTTATCATCATTATATAATATGGTCCTTCTTTTTCGCCTTTGTTTGCACGGTATTATCGTAATAACGCGTAAGATCGTTTCAGGTTTTTGCCAGAGTCACCGAGATGGTTGTTGGCGAAAGGTCGGTTGGGCGAGGCGAACGATATCTTGGAACGATTGGCAAAAGTAAATGGAAAAGAGTTGCCGCTTTCTTTCACGCAAAAATTACGACAACGTATGATGATGTCACGGTCCAAAAGTGAAGAAGAGAGATTACGTAGCGGTCCCGGTGTTTTATCACTCTTCAAAACTCCAAACATGCGATTAAAAACATGTTTGATCACTCTAAATTGGTAAATCAAAGTTCAAATGTAAAAGATATTCGTTAAAAAATATTATTTTTTTTTGTTTATTATTAATTATTAATTTCGTAATTTTCGTTTTATTACAAACGTTCGCATCACGTTACGATTTTTTATAATTTTACGAGTTGCGAAAACAATTTATCGCTGATTCGATCCCTTTTTTCTTTTTTTCCAGGTTCGCGAACAACATGGTCTACGTTGGATTATCGTATTATGGGCCAGCATTGGGTAACGAGGAACACTTGAGCTTCTTCTTCTCATCTCTTGCCGAGATTCCGAGCTACATGGCTTGCTGGGTCGTGATGGATCGATGGGGTCGCCGTTGGCCTCTTTGCTTGAGCATGGTGGTGGCTGGAATCTCGTGCATTACCACAGTTCTTTTGTCACCCGGTATCGAATCGTTCCGAGAAAAGCAGGGAAATGAAAGATCGGTTCAACGATGATAGCAATGAACAAAAAAATAGAATCGTCCCTCCTTTTTTCATTCTCTTTCTTCTTCTTCTTCTTCTTCTTCATTTTTACAGATGCGGTTGTGACCACGCTAATTCTATTCCTCTTATCGAAATCCGCGATATCGGCCTCCTTTCTAATTATATATCCGTTCGCCGGTGAACTTTACCCCACGCAATTGCGCGGCGTAGCGATCGGTTTCTCCGCCTACATCAGTGGTCTCGGACTAATAATCATTCCCTTTGTTACGTATCTCGTAAGTGATCGTAAATATATCTATATATATATATACATATATATATATATATATTGCCGGCGGTCAGATGAATCTTGCAAGCATTTGCGTCATTTCGCGCAGGGCAAGGAAAACTTGGTGCTGCCCCTCGTAATTCTTGGCGTCGTATCTGTAATCGGCGGATTGTCAGGCCTGCGTTTGCCCGAGACTCTGCATCATCGATTGCCCCAAACCGTCGAGGAAGGGGAATTGTTCGGCAAAGATTGGACTTGTGCAGATTGTTTTCGTTGCGTTCCAACCAAGTACGAATTATTTTATCGATATTATGTAGAAATTTGTCCAAGAGACGGGATTTTAATTATTCTCATGGACGGTTTCGTTTTTTGGATGGATTGTAGACCTTCGTCGGCCGCGGCGTCTTACGAGGATCTGTCGGCGAGAGAGACGGTGGAGATGCACGAAGTACCCGAGGCACCGATACCTCAAAGGCTGTTGGAGGATCAGCAAAGACCGAGCGTGCGTCGGCTGGTTCGTCAATCCAGCATGATGGACACGCAGCGTGATTCCGACGGGTCCATTAAGATGACTTATTGGTTTTAGATTTTGAATCGAGCATCGAGTTTCGAAATAAAATCCGAGACGCATTATCGAATCGAAAGGGAAGTATTACTGTATCATTGAAGGATTGGCCGTGTGTCTTGTTTCTTCGAGCTTTATTCCAATAACGCGAGTTGAAGTATATATTTGTGTATAATATTTTTTTGGTCTGGTATCGATATCTAATACGATCAATTTTGCATTTTGTAATGATGATGTTGCTGTTTTAATCGAAAGCGATAAAAAAATTAGTTTAGGTTGCGTCATTGATAGCTTGGAAATTTTATAATAAAAAAAAAAAAAAAAAAAAATTAAAAAATGCAAAAGCACGGAAGTGATGTTATTTTAAATATCAATAATCTTATATGACAACATATTTTTTTGTCATATAATCAAACATGAATCCAAGTCGAATTATGTTTTTTTCCACACTATTTTTAATATTACAACAAATTCATGCGATTCTATTTTAAAATTTAACTCGTCGATGATTTTTCAAATTATAAATTGATCTTTTGAACTGGGATCATCGATCAATAAGATTCGGAAATCGATCGATATATAGTCCGGAAATAATAATTAAATATTAATTTAAAATTGGATTCATTTAATATTCGCTTTATAATTTCGGAGATAAGTTGCTTATATAATTCAGAGATAAGATATCTCTGAATTTTTAAAAGATTTCTAATCTTAATCTATAAAGTTTACGTACATCATATTTTTATAAGAGAAAATAAGGATTGAAAAACACATACACGTGTTAATAAGATATTCTTTACTCGTGTACATTTTGCAATTTATTCCCATAGTTGGTATACAAAACACGAAGATTAAAGGAGAGGAGGAAAAATAAGGAAGGAAGTATGATGGTTAGCCATGAAACTGACTCGTGGGATCTCTTGGATTATTCTTACGTTTCCCGATCGATTCTCTGTCCAACCTTCTCCTATCTCTTCGATCGTCTAGAGTCGAGTGGTTCTGTTGTAGCAGCTGCAATCAATTATCGTATGATCATCGATATCCATTGTACTGTTTAATACTTTTTTTTAAAATTTTTTTCCCTCAGTTTACTTACCTGTCCAGTAATCGCTGCTTCAGCTCGGGTGGATAGGTTACGTATATGTAATGGTCGGGCATCTCTTCGTTCGATATGGGCATATTCTCATCTCCTGGCTCACCCTTCCTTCTCCCGCCGGATCTACTCTCGCCAGAACCACTCTGTTCGTGCGATGTACCCGTGATATCTCCATCCGTGTAATCTAAACTTCCGCCTCCATCTAGCCTATCTTCTTCCGCTGAACTGGAAATGTAGAAGAATGTGTGAATTTTAGTGGGCGCATTAATTTTTCGATTAAACGGTAATAATAACGATGTTTCGTTAATTATAACAATGATATATGCTTATTCGTTCAAAAATACAAAATTATTTTGAATATTATTTTATAATATTAATTGAAAAAAAGAGAATTATGAATTATGAATTTAAAAAGAAAAAGAGGAAAAGAGAAAAAGCAATGTACGAACGATTACAAGTAAAAAAAGATGTGATCTTTGAACTTTTACGTAAGATATTTATTGAGTCAATACTAATATAAATTTCCATATCGAATTTTCAATAATATCATTGAAAAGATATTCCTATTGTGTTATTGTTGTATATATTTCGCAATATATAATATCGTCGAAAGATTATTCCGAATATTTTTTATGAGGAAAAAAAAAAAAAAAAAAAGAAAGAAGAAAGAATTATCTTGAATATTTGTATCTTGAGTATTTGTCCTTCCTGTAATATTTCCTCTTTAATGGACGATATTATGACAAATATTCCATTAATGATAATTTTTATTCTTCAGTCTATATATGTATGTATATATGAATGTATCTATGTATGTATCTATGTATCATAATATTTAATGTCTAAATGTAAATAGAAGTAACGATAAGATAGTAAATAATTTCACGTTTAAACTGATTAAACGTACGTACTTGAATAATACCCAAATAATATAGTAGCACGCGTAAATCGACGAGAATAGAACGACCATAAAAATGGTTAACAGGTACCAAGGTGTATGCCTTTGTTGCCTCTTCGTGTCTTCCCAGTATCTGTCGCAGCTAAGATACCAGCATATCGCTCGGTTCAACTCTCCTAAAAAGAAAGAAAGAAAGAAAGAAAGAAAATGATGAGAATTCATAAATAAGATTTATCAATAAAATTCTCTTCGATTTTTAACGAATTTTAATAATTATACCTTCGATCTCTTGGAAATCTCGTACCGAAAGATTTGTCAAAAGACCGGCGATGCAATCGCGAATCAATACCTGTCAATAGTTTTAAAATAACGTGAGTGCGAAACAAACAAGATAATTAATATTATTTTCTATTGCCATTCAATTTTTGTGTTGTTGTTAGTTTACTAATTATGTTAAAGATTAATTAGCGATAATATACATGGGTCTGGAAATTTTGCTCAACAGATTTCTTCGTTTTATGGTATACAAATTAAGCCAAAGTAATTCTCTACAAGGAGGAGGTATTCGTACTTGAGAGATTTTTTTTTTTTTTGGATAAGATATTCAATAAACCAAGCATTTTACGAGGATCGAAGCTTTCAAAGACAACAAACAGGTACCTGATAATACGTCAATTTTACATACTTAAACCCTGATTTGTAACCTTGGAGTTCCAGAGATGACAAAAAAACTCAACCATTCATCAAATTCATTTGGCCTAAAAAGACATCTATTGTAAATCGTTCCCTTATCGTATATTTATTCCTATCTCTCGATTATTGCTCGATTTAATCAAAATTTCATATCAAGAAATGCCTCCGAGATAAATCAGATCCATCGTCTTTAACCGTTTCTTTCTACAACCGTCCCACGAAACTAACTTCGCACTGCAATTTCAGCTTTTGCAGCTCCTCCGGCTTGCAATTGGCCTTCAGCTTCCTCAGATGCAACCCCTTGCGCCTCTGCTTCTTGTCCACGGCTGGCAAAGCCGCTTCGACGAGATTCTCCTCGTCGTCCTCGTCGTCCTCCTCGTCCTCGTCCTCTTCATTGTCGCAAGCGTTGCTCTTGTTGTCGGGGCCAGCGATCTCCACGTGATACGCCGTACCCGGCAGACGATGGTTCTCCAGAGCGCCGCTGTCTTCTCGATGGCAATATTGCTGAATGTTGGTCACAGCACCGCCTCCGGATATCGTGCAACCCTTCTCCACCGGATACGTCCTCGATAAACCGGCCCGCGACTCGCAGGACATGACCGAAGTGGTACGTTGCTCCGTGTTCTCTTTCCACACTTGTATGTCGGTGCTGTGGTGGCCACCCTCGTCGTCCACCAAAGAACTTTCGAAGTCCCTGTTCCCCAGCACGTCGCATCTCATGATGTCGCAATAATCCGCGAGGCACACCGCATCCTCCGCCTGGTCCACACAATTACAATTTTATAATTTCATAATTCGATACACTTGGCATTAGATCTCTCTCGAATTATCTCTGTTCGTAAGATAATTCGTATCGATAACGGGTGACGCGATACATCGATAGTCTGGGACGAGTGCAAAAAAGAAAAAGATGATTCCTTATATTATCAATCGGTTGTAATCGACATCGAGAAAAAGATGGAATAAGATCGCATTTAGGCCGCATTTCATCACGCGGTTGAAGAGGAATTTTTTTTTTTTTTTTTAATAAAACGAAACGCTCTTTTGAATAAATCGTAAACTAGCTGAAGAGGCGGAAAGTTACCGTGTTAACGTTACTCTTGTGCCTGTTATCGAAGTGGGCATCCAAGTGTTTCTCCGCGTAGAAGGATTTGCCGCACAGGCCGCAGGTCCATTGCGATGGTCTGTGCTGATGTTTCGCCTTTTGCTGGGGTCGAAAAATGTCCCGACTTTCGTGGAACGGACACTCGAGCGGCAATTCCACTTGATGTTTCTTCAGAATTGGCATCCATCTCTGGAAAAAAAAAAACCAGGGAGACGGCTATTTCGAAATTGGATAATTATCACTTCTCCTCTCCAAAATTTATATCGCAACGTACATGCGATTCGTTTAAAAACGAATTGGTTCGAATTAAAAGTTTCTTTACCTTCTGCACTATCCTCCTCACCACGGACGCTCGATCGCGTGGGCATGATATTTTAAACACGCTGGGCCCTGGCCACGGGATTACCGATAACAGTAACACTATCAAGACCTGAAATACACATTATTTCTCGCGTTATTTTTCCCTCTTATTTCCCGTCGATATTTTCTCTCGCAGACGAGCAACGAGCTCGTACGTGTGCATGCCCGTAAAGTAATTATCACGACACCGTTGACTATTTATCACCTTTGATCATTTTCTCTTTTCAACTTTATTAAATATCTATCGATACGTATACATTGTTATTTAACAGTGCAAATGGAAGGACCGTCATGTGCGAAGGAACGTCATGTGTAGGAAAAATATTTTTCACGCACTCTGATCGTTTTAGCCATTAGTTCCTCCGTTCCCGTGCGACGACGGTTCCCTGATGATAAAAAAAAAACCGATCTCCCCCGCGTCCTTCACGATCTCGAACGGTACAAAAATTGATTCGTAATGACGCAGTCTCGCTCTCGGCGTGACGAACAGACGATGACCATTCCGCCCGTCGATACAAACACTCTCCGATCTCTTCTCTTCTCTCTCTAATTACCTCGATATGAAAGGGTTGGGTCTTCATTCATAGCCCAAATTCGCCTAGCGACAGTCCGGCGGCAACGGATAACAACGGCAACCTGACGGCAACCCGACGAGCAAAACACGAAAATCCCGTTCCCCCGAATACGGTTTTCTCGTCGCGATTCACGGTCAACTAGGGACGTAACGGGGGTTGCGGCGAGGACCAGGTATAGGGGCGAACGTCGACATGGCGTTGTCGTCACCTTGTCCCAAGACAGGGATGAATCCTTGTGGGGCGCTTAAAAAAAGTTTGTTGGACGAGCTGGATCGGTTTAATGGAAAATCCATCGACCGAGCGAAACTGCAACGGTCGAAACGGAAGGGAAAATTCCCCCCTGGAGTCGTTCGAACGATCAACGCCAACGCGTACAGAGAATGTTTAATTACGTGTGCACGGAACACGGAGTTCCATTGTACGGGCCTGCACGTGGCGATCCGAGTCGGCGTCGATGACGCCGCGCCGACGCACCCGACGATGCGAGTAACGTGTCGAGTGCAAATCGTCCCGAGTTTTCAAAATATCTCGTTCTTATTAAGAAAAATTTGTCAAATTCTTCCGTTGAATAATTCCCGTCGCATTCGTAATTGTACACGAGATTTATAGAATCGCGATTCCGAATGGATGAAAATCGCGAGTTGGGTCGATTCGAGGGGTTCCCGACACGAAGGGTGTTGTATTGTCGACGAACGATAAGACGAGAGAGGGATGGAATTTTGTCGTCGGATGGCAAAGGAGGAAACTTTTTATGGAAACTTTGTTGTTGTTGTTGTTGTTGTTGTTGTTGTTTCGTGATATCGATGCAATTTTCCTTCTTAATTCTTCCTTTCTTAATTACACTCGTGCACGAGATGGCCAATAAATATCGATTATGTAAGATCGGATCGTTTTAACGATACGATTATTTAATCGGTAAGGAACGAATAACACGATATACACGGTAACGTGATTTTTGAGAAAGGAACGAGAATTATCGCGTTGGGCATAAATTATTATCGTTTTCACAAATAAAACCGATTGTTGATCGTAAATTTAAAAAGAAAAGGAAAAAAAAAAAGAAACAAGCGCATTGCAATTAAAAATTATCTGCATAAAAATTTCTCTGATTTATTCGTCTGGTTATATTTTGTTTCATGAAATTATGTAATATAATATAATAGTGTTAGATCGAGGTAACGTAGTAAAATACAAGCGGTTACACGTTATATAGTAATTTCACAGCAATGACAGTCGCGGCTTAATGAAACAAATTGTACACGTGTACAACGGACAACAACAATGTCTTTATGTGTCTTTACGAATAACCGTCCTTGGAAAAGCGATGATACACTCTTCACGATCACCTTGTATACGCCTCCTTCGTTAGGGTACCGGGTGGGGGAATCAGTCGAGTAGAAGTTAAGTGGTTTGCCAGAGAATCCACTAGTCTGTCAGAGAAAACAGTTAGGCGAGGAAGCTTCATTAAATTGTGAATTCGGTGACTTCGGTAATTTTTCGAATTTTCGTCGCGCCCGATCTCGTCGAAATCGAATCGAAAAGAAAGTTGCACGAGACCAAGTTCGTATGTGCACCGAGTGCGTTCAAAACGATACGGAAAAGGTTGGCACGTTTTCATTCACGGCTTTAGTCGTGGCTTATTTATAAGTGGAGTTTTTTGAAATTGGGTCGCGCGTGAGATAAAATCTCCAGGCTGATGGAAATCCACGCTCGAAACGTTCGAGTTTTCTTTCGTATTCTTTCAACTCGATCCTCGATCTTCGACTTCGATTCGGATCGAATCGAAACGGAAAGGGTCGGAGAGTTCGTTTTCCGATGCGACAGATTTCCCCGTCCGAAGAAACGATCGAGATCGATCGATGGAAAAAGCGGTTTCCTTTGCATTATCTTAAAAAACGAGCTTGGAGATACGAATATTTCTTTTTTCATCCGTTAAATGATTGTGGTGAATTAAATGTTGTATTCTATTATCGATTAATTAACCGGGAACAAGTTTTATCTCGTGTTTGTATTCGTTTATGGGGGCAATGTTCCGCGAGTTTATCGGGCAGTCAGTATTAGCTTCATTCACGATAGTGCGTTGCAGCTGGAAAACGAACAAAATAATATGTTGCCGTTCATCGTACACACATTTGTAACTAACGCCCGTCCAAGTGAACGTTCGCATTCTGAGAAAGCGCTTACTTAGAATGTTATTTAAGGCCGATGTACTATGCCCGTATGTCGTTTCAAATGCCGAGAAGTCGAAAGCTTGACCCGCATTGCTCTCTCTTTTCAATTTCAACATTTTAAGATTATAATTTCAATTCGTTTAAGATTAATTGATGGATCTCATTATAAATTCTATCGTCGAAAAAAAAAATGGAACAACATCCGTTTTCCTTTTGTTTCGTGACACGAGTCATTAATTCGCTTTTCGACCTTAGAATTGAATAGAATAAGAGGATTATAATAGAACGTTTAAACAATTATTATATCGTGGAGAATCGTGTGTCATCGTTGGTATCATGGTCGAAGTTGCGATGTTGAATACAAATTTTTCAACAATTGCCGGTTAGAATTGATCGGCACTTGTACCATTTATCACGATAATAAGCGAAATAAAAATCGGTACGTATTTATGCACATCCAAGAGATATCCAAAAGGTTGATACCGATAAGTGGATCGAACTTTGAACTCTTATTTATTGTTGACCAGCAACTCGTTCCACTGAATAAAACGTCGTTTGATTCGATATAACGAATTCACATTGTTGATAAAACGTCTACTATTTAGCATCGTAAATGATGCATTCACTCGATTTTCATATTGTAATGTGTTAATCGAATGTAATTTGCTTTACGCGATGGAATAATAATAATTGACTCGATAAATATTTTAATAATGAAAGAAATGTAAATATTGATCTTTTAAATCGTAAATCATTTTTCAGAGAATTGATAGAAAAATAATTTAAAATTCATAAAGTTAATTTATTGACAATTACGAAGAAATACGTCAAAGATTATTCGATTTACCGGTTTTTAAAATTCTATTACATCGTAAAATTAGAGAAAATTAGTTACGGAAATGTCTTCGATAAATTTATTTCTATCTTCGATAACTTTATAACTTTGTGTCTGTATTCGTTAAGCCGATATCGTGTCCTATATTAACCGATATCCCTTATTTCGCCTATTATTATTCGTAAATTTCGAAAGTTATTTATTTCGTTCACAGTTCAAAATTTCACTTCAGCTTTTTTTATTCTTCCAGATAACTGTTTCGATACGTCACGACGTATACGTGAAAGAAAGTGAAAAGAATGACAAGCATGAGGCAGTTCGTTCGCTATGCGCGTAGACTGGGCCAGATATCAGAGAGTGGGACAAAAGTTGTAAACCGGTTCGTGAAATATGCGTCTACTCAAGCTCGACACAAATTCATAGAGGATGAAAATGGGAAAAAAATTTTCCTTTCTCCGTATGGGGATTTCACGCCTTCCGATAACCTCGTTCATGAATACATATGGAAGAATGTCGAGAGGTTCCCTAATCGCATTGCATTGGTAATATACGCGACAAAAATAATTTTTCCATTCAAATTATTTTGTCTGTATTTTATTTTGGGAAAAATATAATGTGATATCATATAATACGATCTTGTGTGAGAATTATTATCAGTATTATTAACTCTCCATTTTACTACGGCATATAATTACTACGGCAATTAAAAAAAAATAATGTATTCGATGTTACCGTTTTTTAGGAATGTTCGATAACCGGGAAAAAATACACGTACGCTGAAGCGAGGGACGCGAGTAATTATATCGCGAGAAGTTTGAAGAATATGGGTTTGAAGAAAGGTGACTTGGTGGCCCTAGTAGCGCCCAATTATCCGGAAACGATTTTAGCTGCTGCCGGTGTTTTAGAAGCTGATCTTGTTCTCACTACCATGAATCCTACTTACACAATCGGTAAGTAATAATTATGTGAATAATTAAAGTAAAGAATAAAATCGAAATATGCGTAAATATCATTTAATAATTTATAACACATTTATAATAAATATTACAAATAAATATTTATAATATTTTCATGAAAAATATTCTTTAAGGAAGAAAAAATTAAATTGTTTTTATTGTATAATGATTAATTTTTTTTTTGTTTGTTGTATTAAGAAAAAAATAAATAAATGTTTGCAAGATTCGATACGTTGAATCGGCTATACGTAAGAAAATGATATATATATTTATGAAAAGAAGAAAGATAAAATAAATATTTTAAATATGATTGTAAATATTTTGAAAACAGAATACGATTTAAATGAGTAACAGAATAAATTAAAAATTTATTTTGAGATAAACGTTAGTAACTAGTGTATAAATATTGTGTAAAAAAATATAAATTTATTAAGAAAAATCTAATATTGTTTGTTCAAAGTTGAAATTATTTAAATTCGAATTTTACGAATGTATACATTTGAATATACTTTAAAATAATACATGTATAATGTTTCTTCGATAATATTATCTGGTTTATTGTAAAAATGCAGAAAGATTAAAATTATATTACACTAGAAAACAAGAATGAATCATATTCGAACAATTACTAAATTTAAAATGCTAAAAATTATTATTAAGTTGTCAAAAACAAATGTATTATTATTATGAATTAATATTTATATATAAAATTTTAATAATCTAACGTTCTTTTTTTGTTACTCGATAAAAAATTCATAATTCGTACAATGTATGTTTTATATATAGTTTTAATAATCTAACGTTCTTTTTTTGTTACTCGATAAAAAATTCATAATTCGTACAATGTATGTTTTATATGTAGTTTTAATAATCTAACGTTCTTTTTTTGTTACTCGATAAAAAATTCATAATTCGTGTTTTATATATAGTTTTAATAATCTAACGTTCTTTTTTTTTTTTACTCGATAAAAAATTCATAATTCATATTTTTTATTTTTAGTAAAATATATAATTGCTCGAATAATCGAATAAAATGCATAATAACATAAAATTAACATGGATGATTCATTTCGAACAGAGGAAATGAAGAAACAAATAAAGGATTGTGAGGCCATTGCGATAATTACAGTTGCAGAAATTGCACATATTGTACTTGAAGCGAGGAAAAATACTTCCGCGTCACGAGGACCCTTCGTGGTTATCGAGGATGGTATTAGATCTATTCCCGAAGGCAGTGTGCCGTTTAAGGTATGAATTATTAAATAATAAGTCGAGATGAGTGAATATTTAATGTTAATGTGTGATTATTATTCCTTTTTTTATAGGATCTTATTACACGAGGTAAAACATTACCGCCTATAACGCATCATCAAATGACCTCGAATGATCTAGCCATCTTGCCATATTCCAGTGGAACGACTGGCATGCCGAAAGGTGTCATGTTGACGCACAAGAATTTAGTAAGTAACATGGAAATGGTGGAATATTCGGCGGAAGAAAGAATGTGGCGACATACAACCGGTGAATAATAATTTAACACGTTTAAATTAAATCATTAAGATTTACAACAAGATCGTTAACAAGATCGATCATTTATTTCCAGCCGATTTTCAAGAGGTACTACCCCTAATTATACCCTTCTTCCATATTTTCGGATTGAATGCCGCGACCCTGCCTCGTCTCCATAACGGTACAAAAATAATTACTCTTCCAAAGTTCACGCCGGAAATATTCGTGGACGTTTTAATGAAACATAAAGTAAGTAAATTTCGTTCGTAGGTATTCTTCGTGGAAATATTGAGAAAATTGTTTCTTGTTTTGTTCACGCAGATAACAGGTTTATTCGCAGTACCATCTTTGCTCACGTTTATAAATATCTGTCCTTTGCTTAAAAAGGAGATTTTCGAGAATACGCATCACATTATCACCGGGGCAACACCATTAGCGGCGGTGGATGTAGAGAAATTTTACGAAAGATATCAGATAAACAGCGATAACTTGAAATTCTCTCAAGGTATGGGGAATCGAATTTTAATTTAAATTTTTTTTTCTAGAATTTCTATGAAATTCCATGGTTGTAAAAATTGAAGAAAATAAGAATTATTATTATTTTTTCTTTCCTCCCCTCTCTTCACAAGGATACGGGATGACGGAAACTTCACCCGTGATTTGCTTAGACACGTGGAGTCGAAAATCAGCAAGTATCGGACAAAACATTGCCGGTTGCGAATTACGATTAGTCGATTCAGCAACGAACGAGGATATTTCTCTTGCTGGTCAAAAGGGAGAAATATGGGCCAGGGGGCCTCATATCATGAAAGGGTATTTAAACAACGAGAAAGCGACGAGAGAGATGATTGTCGATGGTTGGCTGAAAACTGGGGACGTTGGTTATTTCGACGACGAGTTTTATTTCTTCGTCACGGATAGGAAGAAAGATTTGATCAAAGTTAAAGGATTCCAGGTAAATGGATCAATATTAATTATTAATTATTAATAATTTTTTAATCGGACGAATCCAATCAAAAGCTTTTAATTATTTATTATTTATTGAATGTTATCGCGCACAAGCTTGGAATTTAACAAATTTTATCACATTGTATTTGTAGGAAAAATGTTATGAATTGATCTTGCAATCGCAGTTTCATAATTCAATTTAGTATCAACGTAATTCTATTCAGCTACGTAAAGCATATATTCCATGTTTCAATTTGTATCAGTTTATATAGTTGGTAAATATTAGAATTTATCCGTGAAATATCAATGTGACGTAATTAATTTAATAGTTGCTTTTTTATTTATTTATTTATTTTTTTTAATTTCATCTCTTCGAAATTTTACATCAGGTACCACCAGCCGAATTGGAAGCTTTGATAAAAAGACATCCAAATGTTATGGAGGCAGCTGTGATTGGTATTCCAAACGAAAGGTTCGGCGAGATACCTAAAGCTTTCGTAATTCTCAAGGAAGGTACCAAGGCGACGGATGACGATATCAAAAATTTCGTAAAAGACAAAGTGTCGGAATATAAGCAACTCAGAGGTAAAGCAATTTTTTTTTTTCAATTATAGTTGTCATTTATTTTATAATACTCGTTTTTACAACGAGTGACTTAGAGTTATTATATGATAAATAATGATGATACGATAAATCGCACAAATTAAGTCCATAATCTGACGATAAATAATAAAAAAGATAATTTTTTACCTTCGGTAATTTTAATTATTATTTTTAATTATTATAACGAATTATATAATTACCTGTTTAACGAATAATCCAACGTTTATTAAATTTACAGAGTGCTGTTATATTATGCACATATCTTGTATTACGTATGATCTTTGATCTAATAATCTATTATTATTATAAATTATTTCAGAATATTAATATTTGCATATAATAAATTTTTTTTGTTATACGTTCATCTTATTCATATATATATATAGATTAATCATACATAGAAATTCACTATTATCTTTTTATGATCGTAATTAAATATTTTATCGCGTGACACAATGTGATTTAATGATTGTAGGAGGAGTGACATTTGTTGACAGTATACCAAAGAACGCAAGCGGAAAAATTTTACGAAACAAATTGAGAAACGAGTACAAATAGTAAAAGTTTATGCTCAAGAGTGAAGAAGAAAATTTCACGCTTCGAGGCCTCGATTTACCATAGTTCGTACCATAATGGAATCAATTATCGATTAAGAACAGGGTACGATTAATCATTTCTATATCGATTGGCATAATGGTATATGAGTCATCCAACTATTATATTGATGGTAAAAGATATGTTAATAACGTTTATTCACTTGTTTTGTGTATAATATTGTTATCTCATAAGTGCCTTACAAGTATCTTATTGATTACGATAATTTTTTAATATTTTTACATTTATATATATATATATACATATCGATTTTAAAAGAATGGGTTTAGTAAACATATATAAATATAATGTACTTATTAGAATAATGGGAATAACGCGGTAAAAACAACGTGATTACGAAGTGCATTTTTAAAATTATACGTATATCTTTTTATTTTTAATGTCATTTAATATACGCAAATATTATCGGTTTATTGTTGTGCAATATTTGACAATGCAATTAATTTTTAAGATTATTTTTAGATATTAAATTTTATCGATTTTTATAGAACATTTGTACAAGAAAGTTACAGGGATTTTAAACTTTTAAACAATAAAATCTTTTATAGTTTTATAGTTGTGTTATAAATAATTGCACACTTTCCAACAAGCATGTCCGATTATTTAAAATTCAATTCATCTTTACATTCGTTTTAAATAATTAATTAATCACTATTGATTTATTTTGAACATTATATATGTTAATTTGTCTTCGTATCATTCATATCATCTCGATTTCGATTGAAAATCTCAAAATCGGTCAATTGAACAATCATATTTACACCATAAAATTATTTTATTTATACATCATTAATAACTAATCTTGTTTCGCATTTTCATTCGATTAGATATTTATCAGACGCTTTATACTTTATAAGACTAATTTTTTCTTTAATTATATTTTATAATTTATAGTCGAAATAGATGAAGATATCGCAAGATTGTAAATTTTTATTATATTATTATCATGAACAAGAATTAATTAAATTGCAATCAGCCAATAAAATAGATAAAAAAAAAGTTATCAGGCGATATTTTTTAATTTTAAATTCAAATGAACGATATCTATATACAACTTCACATGTAGATAATTACAACTATATCTATGAAACGGACATGAAACTTATGTCATTCCACTGTTAATCATTCTCATTTCACTTAAAATTACAAAATAAAATTGCTAGCGAAAAATATAATAAATAAATTTCCACAGATACTTTTCCATCTTTCCAACATTATTTCATTCTCCACGATCGCTCTTTAAATCGCTCTTCCTACTTACTACTTCGTCACCATATTGCGATAACTTGTATCACGATAAAGTTAATTCCACTCGAACGATACGTGATCCACTGTTCTCGAGATCTCAATGCCCTTTCTCTTATTTGTTCCTTATTACGCATTCCGTGCGAATTCTACGGTAATCACCAATGCATTCCACCGTCTTCCCGCCATTCGAAAACGTTCGAATTAAGGCTCCGCGTGCGAATTTCCGCGAGGTTGCCTGGGTGCCCGTCATTTAATTCCCTTCGAGGCCGCTACCACCATTGTTACCATTCGTTTCCCCAAATGCGCCCAATCGAGAAGTCTCGCTTTCGAGCTTTCCTTTCGAGCCTTGCCTTCGTGCCAGGGTGAAACAGGGTGAAACAGGTGAAGGTGGCCGGGCTCGAATCGATGCTTGGAACAGGCGAGAAGGAGGAGGAGGAGGGGAGGGGGATGAAGGGTCGAATGGAAACAGACAGAGCTGCTTTCCACCCCTAAACGCGTGGCTTTGAGTGCGTGTTTCAATCCCTCGGGGGGAAAAGAGATGAACTGTGCTTAATCCTGTTCGTCGGATAGAAATGCATTCAACAGGGGTAAACTGTAGAAGCGAGCTGACGAAGCCAATCTCTTATATTTACTTTAAACGAGAGAAAGATATTTGAGGGACGAGGAATTAGAAGAAGAGGTAGGTGGAGGTATATAACAAAGTGAACGATGTAGTTAGTGTTTGTTTATTACAATTTTTTTTTCTTTTTTATTATGTTTGATAGGGTTTACCTGTTGATCTCGTTGTTGGAACGAAGGCATATTAATAAATTGGTATACGTTACATTGGAATCAAGAAACGGGAAATCTAACTCGCGTCGAATTGTAAATTCTCTCCAATTGCTTCGAAAGGAATTTTATTCTATTACAGTTTTAAAATTTCCAAGCGTATTCTTACACTTTGTTCGCCTGTCCTTTAATTATTTTGATTATTTTTGAACTTGTAAACTATACAAAAAAATGACGAAATAACGATTCTTTCTCCCAGTATCGTTTAAAATTCTAATCACTTTGTTTGCTCGCTGTTTATCGTATATTCTTTTTCATCAAAAATATTTCTTCCATACATTTTTATAGTACGTATACACGATCCAAATTTATGACCAGTATATCCCAGTATATTTCTATTTTCCTTTCCTTTCCTTTCTTATGGCAAACATTTCCATCCGAGGAAATGAAGTTTTTCGAGACAAGTGACAAGCACAAAGTTGTCGCGCGCCCTATCCTGGATCCGTAAAGTTCCTTTCGATTGGAAGCGTTCATCGGTGGAAACCCCCGTCGCGTAAACGTTGGGAATTTATTTCACGGGCGCGTTCAGTTTTCCAAGCGATTCACCGGCACGGTTCGCGTTCGATAGAAAATAGTGTTGCCCGGGCGGAAATGGACGCAAACAAATCAATTGGTTTTCCGAATGAAATCAAACAAGCGCGCGAGACATTCCACCCCATCGACGACCGACCACCCTCCTCCTTGCTTCTCTTTTCCACGCCGCCTCGCTGGCGAGGAGAGAAGTTGGAAAATGAAAAATAGGGGCAGAGGAGGCTGCACCGTCGTGACACCCATTTTTTTTTCCACTGTTTCTCGCGTTGCCACTCCTCCTCCTCTTCTTCTTCTTCTTCTTCTTCTTCCACGACGACTTTATTCTTTTTCCCCTCTCGACACTTCAGCGACGTAGTCACGCTCTACTAACGATAGACGTTCTCGTCGAATGACAGTGAAAAGTCCACCTCCTCTCCCTTCTTTTTTCTTCTTCTTCTTCTTCTTTTTTTATTCCGCTTGCACTGGATGACTGAATGCGATTTATCAGTGTCGTTGACAATTCGAAAGAGATCATTGAAAATTTTAGGGGGAAGAGAGGATGAAGGTAAAGAAATTGCTTCGAAAGTTTTTGTTTTTTCTTAGACGAAGCAATGATGGATTTTATTTGGATTTAATTGTCGTAGAAATTATAAAAATTCTAATTTAAAAATATTATCTAGATTTTCTAGTAGCTCTTTTTTTTTTAAATGAAAGTTACAAAGTTCCCTGATTTATGCACGAGCAATGAAGCTATGAATCCACGAAGCTATTACGCATTATAAAGAATCGTACTCTCGCTTTTCACATCGCGACCACGTTAAAAGGGATTCATTTGAGATTGATCGTCTTTCAAGGGATGAGAAATACGATAAAAAAAAGAAAATAGAGAATATAGTTAACGAAAAGCAAAGTTTATTAAGCGAATACGCACTTTCTGTCTGTCTGTCTGTCACTCGTGAAATATAGATGACACGCTGTGGGAAAAATTTAGTTGCGAGGTTTCGCGGTTGAAGAGAGGGGTGTTCTTGTTGGAACTTTGTCGTGGAGTTGAATCCGTTCCAATGTTCGACGTTTTACATAGTGCAAAGTGGTGTCAATTAGGCTCGTAATATCGTCCGAAAGAGTTGCTGCTACCCATTCCGTGGCAATGATTGTCGCGTTTCTCGGTGTCTAAAATTTCATCGAGTTCTGCTTTTGCACTTTCCCCCAACTTTACTCCCAAAAACTTTTCCCTTTCGAACTTTTATCCCCTAAAAAAAGAAGGGTGTTCGAACAAATTGTAAATCGACAACCAAAAAATGTAAAAGGGCGGGTTGATTTTAAGAAAATAATAATAATAATAATAATAATAATAATAATAATAATAATAATAAAAGAAAAGAATCATTCGTAGAAAATTTCGACTAATCAGAAATCTTCACTTTCAGGCGCGATTGAATCCGAGATGAAGCTCGGCTCGTTCAACCGAATCGAGGTTTCGCACGAACCCCATTGGACCGAGTCGATGCCGGATAAATTTATTTTAAGTGTCCTTCCGATACCTCGATTCACCATGCTCGGTCGAAAGGAGTAATAGCAACTGAGAGACTCGTCTGGCAAGTTTGTGGTAAGAATTCTTCGTTTCTTCCTTCCTTTCCTCCTTCTTTCTTTTTTTCTTTTTTTCTTTTTTTCAGTGACTCGACGCTGTGTCAGACGCGATTGAAAAAAAAAAGGAAGAGAAGATAGAGGCGGGAAACGCGAGAAGAAACGGTATTTCCGGGCGCATATGAAATGCAGAAGTGACGGGAGGGAGGGGAGAGAAACATCCGTCACTTTTATTTATTTTCTAGAGAGAAAGGTAAGCCAGATGTTGCCGGCTGTAGATTTTATTAGACACGAAGTTTTTTCGTCCTTTTATTTTATCTTTTCCTACCCCTCCACTTGTAAACCTCTCCACTTTGATCCGTCTAATCTCCCTCTCTCTCTCTCTCTCTCTCTCTTCCTAAATATAAATTAATTCTTGTGCGAATGAAATTTCAACTGTTGCCGACTCGAACGAGTCTAGATTAATGTACAAAATTAAATTCGATCCTCGTGAAATTTGTTGGGATGGAATCGAGTCGTGGATAGAATAAGAAAAAAGGAACAGATTTATGAAAAAAGAAAGGTCGGAAGGAGGGATAAATTATATGAACCCCCGGTGGAATCATTAACGTTCAAAAGGGATCTTATTTATACCCTCTTTCCTATCTAAGAAATGGAAAATCAATTTCAAAGGTTACTCTAACTACGAATGTTGGTTAATCCAGTTTCCACACTCCATACATCACATCCGGATAATAACCGATCCACGAATCCACGGCTCCTTTGTTCTTTTATCTGTCGGGCGAGGGTCAATTAGATTTCACCGGAACGGGTCGAAAAAAGAGAAGTAAAGGAAAAGGGATAAGAGGAAGAGGGATCGAGCGTGAATCACCGGAAGCGATTTCTTTTCTGGGAGGGAATCGCTTTGAGGGGCGAGTGACATGTCGGCGGAGACTTTGAGCGCGAGAAACGAGGCTGTGACTCGCTCGTGCACAGGTAGAAAGCGAAGAAAATGGAAAAGTGGCGGGCTGCTGGTCACTCTCTATATACCACGTATAGAGAGATCCTTTGGGGTTGATGTCGAAAAGAGGCAGTGCAGGGCCACGATGTTTCGCGAGCCGGCGAAAAAGGGTCGAGGGTGAAAAGGATGGAATTGAATTCACTGTTGGTAAAGGGGGGAGAGGGGTGATACGGTGCCATTATCAATTTACAGGGATCAAAGGCAGCGTGACGCGACGCTAATTAGTCCGCTGCAACGTGACGCTGGAAACAGCCACGTGCAAGTTTCGAATGCTCGAATGTACTCACTCGTACGAAAGGATACGCGAAAATCTAATTGCGGCCTGGATCTGGACGGCAAACAACTTTCCACGATTTTCGAATGGTAATTTCTGGGCGGAAGGA